ATTTGGGCGAAGGTACCTGGAGGGGAAACCCAGGCTGTGCTTGAGCAAGAGTCAAGAACCGAAGCCTGGAGGAGGGGTGGGAGCTGGCCTGCCTTGCTTCCTGCTTGGTTACCTCCCTTCCCCCTGCCAAGGACACAGCTGTCCCAACCCAAGTCTGGGGAGGGCTGCCCACCCACACATGAACAACAGGTCACCTGCTTCTCCTACCCTGGTCACTCTAGTGGTTCAAGCATTTGTCACTGTTGGCTCCAGGGGAAGATGGGAATCCATTCCTTGAGCCCACTCCAGCATCTGTCACACACAGCCACTGTTTTGCAAAGCTGGCTATTTCAGGGGGAGTTGGGAGGAAGCGGTTGGGCCAAATGGCAGGCTTTTCAGTTCTCAACAGATGTTTACTGAGTGCCTGGTCCAGACTGGGCACTGCTGAGTGCTGGGCATCTGTATATGCCACTTTTCTCATTGCTGTGATAAAATATCTGCCAACTTAAGGATAAAAGGGTTTACTTTGACTCATAGTTTGAGGGTACAGTCCATCATGAAGGGGAAAGCATGGCGACCAGAGGGGACATTGCACCTACAGTCAGGTAGCACGGCCGACTTTCTCCCTTTTCGCCTTTTATTCCGTCTGGGAACCCACCTGTGGGGTGATGTCACTCACATTCAGGGTGAGCCTTCCCTCTTCAGTTAAACCTCTTGGGAAACACCCCCAGGGACCTGCCTAGCGGTATGTTTCCAAGGTGATTCTGAGTTCAGTCAGGTTGACAATGAAGGTTAACCATCACAGCATCTGAGGACACAAGCTGATAAACATGTCCTGGGACCTGTGTCTGAGAACTCGTCCCCTCCCTACACCCACTTCCTAGGATGGCTTCTCTGCTCTTCAGCTGTGGACAATGATAAAAACCAGGCAGCCTGGCCTTGGAGTTCATTCCAAGCTGAGCCACTTGCTAGCGATGTGGCTCTAGGATTGTTTATGTCCTCTGTGTCGCCATAAACTCCTCAAACATGTAACTGAGCAGCTATGCAGCCCCTACATCCTCCCAGGGGCAGCTGCCCAAGGACAATAGCCACAGTAAGCAGTATCAATAGGAACTGTGTCAGAGGGTCATTCATCCCATGGGACAAAAGAATCAGCAAGACCAGGTGGATGGGAAGTGGGGACAGACTAGCGCAAGCTGCGGTGTTTTCAAATAGAGTGGAAGGGAAGGGCCTTATTGATTAAAGTCCTGATGAAGTGAGGGAGAGAGCCATGCAGATTGGGGGGTGGGGGCAGAGCTGGTGCAAAGGACCTGTGCTAGGAGTGTGCTTGGCATACGGGTGGCATAAAAAGCAGGTGAGAGCCGGGTGTGGTGGCCCATGCCTTTAATCCCAGCACTCCGGAGGCAGAGGCAGGCAGATCTCTTGTGAGTTCAAGACCAGCTTGTTCTACATAGTGAGTTCCAGGTCAGTTGGGGCTACAGAGAGACCCTGTCTCAAAAAAATAAGCAGGTGAGGGTGGTGGAGGCTGACACGCTAGTGGAGGAGGGGCAGGAAATGGAGATGGAGGATGAGGCAGGGGACACAAACACACAAATCGAGGGGTATGTGAGATGTGTGCTATGAAGAAAATACTTCCTCATAGTGACCCCCCCACCCCCGTTTTCCCTGTTGCTGCATCTGGAGAGAGCCTGACCTGATGGTCTGGTGAGAGGGTGTCCCTATTAATCACTATTAGCTCTTCAGCATATGGCCCTTGCCCTTGCTCCCAATCTTGCCTGGTTGTCCTATGTCTGTCCATGCTGGGCCTGTGCCTCTCTCTCTCTCTCTCTCTCTCTCTCTCTCTCTCTCTCTCTCTCTCTCTCTGTGTGTGTGTGTGTGTGTGTTTACCTGTGTGCATATGGAGGCCAGAGATGGATACTGAGTATCTTTTCAGTCCCTCGCCACCTTATGTTTTGGGACAAGGTCTCCCATTGAACCCAGAGCTCACCAATTTGGCCAAACTGGCTGGCCCCCAAACCCCAGAAATCCTTCTGTCTTTGCTTCCTCAGCATTGAGATCACAGGTGTGCGCTGCTGCACCCGGCTTTTATGTGGGTGCTGGGGATCCGAACTCAGGTCTTCATACTGTATGGCAAGCATTTTACTCAAAACAATCTCCCCAGTCCTGTTTGTCTGTGCTTTTGTGTGCGTCCCTCCCCCTCAAGGCTTTGCAGGCATTGGTGATGCAAAGGGAACACAGGGAGATGCAGTGAGTTGGACGTGGGCTCTAAGTGATGTCATGTTAAAATTAAGAATTGATTAACTTTCTCCGGCACTCATGGCAACCATCCATGGTTATTGTTTAAAGAGCCTTTACTTGGCAAAAAAACAAAACAAAACAAAACAAAAACACACTTGGGAGACCTATATTAAGGTCCCTCCCCTTTTAATGTCTCTTGTCTTCATTACCCCAAAGCCTGAAAGCCAGTGATCTAAAACAGTCCCTAACTGGACAGATGTAGGATCCAGGACCCAGGAGAGATGCTTGGTTTGCTCAAGGTCACAGACGAGAGTGGGCTGTCCACTTTGGCCTGGGAACAGGCAAGGAGGTGGGGACCTTGGTGAGGAGGATTGAGAGGGAGCACGGAGGATGGGCCATCCTCCACAGAGCCATGAAAGGGCAATCCTGGCTTCACAGGAAGAAGGATCTAACTCCACCTAGGTGGAAGCAGGGTTGAGCCTGCTGGGTCCTAGGGCTGCCCACTGAGGAGGGCTGGGCTTGGAGTCAAAGTGCCCTGCACTTCCTCAGTGGTGTGTGGACTGGAGACCTCTTCTGTAACCACCCTGGTCCTTGAGTTCAAACCCGTAAAATCAGTATGTGAGTGACTAGGAGGATTTAGTGAGATAACACAGTCTGGTCACAACCAATACTTGACCAGATGACCCCTCTGACCCCAGGGAGGGGTATCACATGCAGGTGGTCTCTCTTACTGTTAGAGGGTGCTGAATTTGAGCCACAGAACAGTCAGATACTGGCCACTTGGCCTCTTGTCATCTCTGTCAATGAGGTTTACAAAAGACTGGAGAAGAAGCAGGCTTTCCATCCCAGATGTGTGAGTACAGGTTGGCATCATTTGGTGGGAAAGCAGCAGGAACTTAGAAATAGAGCAAGTGATTAGCGCATTTCATCAGTATGTGTTTGCAGATATGTGTGTTTGTGTGTGTGCACATATTCACAGGCATGAACATGTGCGTGGAGGTCAGACATCAACCTTAGGTAAAGCTCCTCATGAGTTGTTGACCTTGCTTTTTTGAGATAGAGTCCCTTACCGGGAGCGGGGATCCCTGTTTTGTCGAGGCTGGCTGGTCAGCAAGCCCCAGGGATCTGCCTGTTTCCACGTCTCCAGCACTGTGAATTGCAAGTACATACCAGCACACTTGACTTTTGACTTGAGTGCTGGGGCTGGAACACAGGTCCTCATGTTTACATGGCAAGCACTTTATCAACTCAGCGATCTTCCCAGTCTCTTTAATGCCATTTAAACGAGGACTCTGTAGTTTTAGGACCTGGTCTCACCACTCTCTTGATGCCTAAGTACAGTATGCACTCAGGCTGTGGTGGCCCAGGAAGTGTCCAGTGAATGAAAAATGAATAAATGGATGAATGAAGGAGTGGTTAATTGTGTGGTCCACAGAAGAGAGGGGTTAGTAGAGTCCAAAGAGGTGTATGGGAGCGCAGCTGCTGCGTCCCATCTGATGAAGTTCCCGGACTGCTGGAAGATGAGCAGAGGTCCATTAGAACACCTTGACCCCAGCCTGGCCTTGCAGGAGTACTCGTAGGTAGCTTGGCTTTTATTGTTTTGAGACAGGGTCTCAATAAGTAGCATAGGCTGGCCTTGAACTTGCCATCCTCCTGCCTCAGCCTCCCTAGTGCCAGGATAGCTTTAAAAAAAATTTTTTTTTTTAGCTGGGCACGTCTTTAATCTCGGCACTTGGGAAGCAGAGGCAGAAGGATCTCTGTGAGTTAAAGGCCAGCCTGGTCTACATAGTGAGTTCCAGGACAGCTAGCTGGGGTTACAGGGAGACCCTGTCTCAAAAAGACCAAAAAAACATTTTTTTAAAATTATTTTACTATATTGGCTGCATGTATGTAAGTGCATCTGGGTCATGCAATGCCCTCGGAGGTCACCCTGGGATAGCTTTTGTTTTAAGGTGAGATACCAGGTAGGAAGAACACCACACTGCCCATCACTCAGGGCTGTGTTGAAGGCAGTTTAAATGAGATGGAGCTGAGTATTACTGTCCAAGTATCTGGTTGCTCATCCATAAAATAGGCGCAATTATAGCAGCTACCTTGTAGGCTGTTGTTACCTTCCCATAGCTGTCTGCCCCATCCATCTGGTTCCAAAAGGATTCTTTTGAGTCTCTCCCAGCATTTGAAAGGAAGCATGCTAGGGGTTAAGCCCCAGTCTCACAGGCGAGGACACAGATGAAAGCGTAAGTGGCTGAGTATCACTCAAGGTCATTTTCTGGCTGGAGCAGAGCTTCTAACTCAGTGTGTATCTGCTAAAAGCTGTACATCTGCTCTCATGCAATCCTTATAGATTCAGAAAGTAGCTCAGTGCTGATGCTTTTTACCTGGTGGGCAAAGCGATGGCTCTTGGCTCACAGGGAGGAGCTCATTTACTGGGAACCACGTACCTAAGAAATGGATGATAGACCTGGTCACTGGAGCTCACGGCTTCCCAGATCCTGGGAGTTCGATGCCCTGAAGGTGTCATAGGGTCCACCCTGGAAGCATTCAGTCCCCTAGAGCAGGCCCTCCAGTAGTCCTGTCTCCAAGCTGCAGAGCACATTTCCTCCCTCCAGGGTAAACTGTGTGGATCTGTCTTGGGGGCTGACAGGAAGCTGGAGCAATCCAAGAACAAACACTGCCTGGTCAGGCCTGGCCACCCTGCGGGAGAGAAGGTACCAGGGCCATGGGGCTATGTGTGCATGACTTCTACCCCATCCCTGGCTCAGTACTGTGCTCTCACTCTGCAGGAGTTCCTCTGTGACCAGAAGTACAGCGATGAAGAGAACCTGCCAGAAAAGCTCGCAGCCTTCAAAGGTGAGCCAGGGCTGGCTGCCCCACCATCCCCGGAAGAGCAGGCTGCTGGCACATAAGACCCCTTGGCCCCACAGGACTAGGCTGTGGCTCTATTGCATCCAGAACTCTTCACTTCCCAAAAGACTTCAAGGCAGTGGTCCCCTAAGAGGCAAGGACAGACCCTTCTTCCTGTCTCTGCCACCATGGGTCCTGTCTTCAGGCCCTGCCCCTGTCTTCTGTGGCTGCCCAGTGGGGTTCAGGTTGGCTCCTGTCCTGCCCATCCATGCCCTGTGTACTCCCAGGGCCCCATACACAATCCGTCCTTTGTGAGCCGTTCTTGCCTCTCCCCCTCCCTGGTGGAGCCTCTCAGGGGCCCCTGTGGAGAATAGACATTTGTGTCGCCACAGTGGGCAGGGGGGGCAGAGTTTCTGCCCATTGAATCCCAGCAGCACGGGATGAAAAGAAAACAGGGCCCAGGAGCCTGTGCGGGGAGAGGGGCAGCATAAAGGTCTCTCTGTTCAGGGCCCTGGCTCTTGGTTCTCAGCCAGTGGCTTGAAAGGAGAGGAGCCTGTGCACACAAGAAGCGGGTGGACCCACCTTTCCTGCCCCTGGGATGCACTGGGGGATGCCTGAATATAGAGGTGATCCCATCCTCCTCCCAAATCTTTGCAATGTGGGCATCCTCTCCATTCCAAGGCAGTGTGAGGTGCCTGACTCATCCAACTCACAGCATAATGTTATCTTGGGCAGGACCTCAATGAAAAAATTAATAGCAGTGGGCAGGTACTGAGGGTTAGCCGCAATAAAACCCTGTTCAACGACAGCCAATGTGCTTTGCTACCCAAATCTCCCCCCTCCCCCCCATCTATTAGGATGCAGATGTTTTGATTGTTCCTTTAGAGACCAACAAACTCAGGCCTGAGGTTGTGTTGGGACTTGAACCCTTGTCAGTTTGTCTCCAAAGCCTCAGGTCTCATCTAGGATGTATGATGCTTGTTATATCAAGAGTGAGAATGAGCACAATGGCCTTATCCTAACACAATCCAGCTGCCCACAGGAGAGGTGTGCAGAGGATTCAGGGGACCACTCCTCAGGAGTGGCTCTGGGAAGGAAGAAAGGGTCTCAAGGGTCTGCAATCACACTAATCTTCATTGGGATGTAGGGTTGGGTCTCTTGGGCAAGACTAGAACAGGAAGTGACATTGGAAAGAGAGACCCAAAGGTCTTTAAGCTGTTCACTCTTCTGCTCAACCAAGTGCCAGGGCCATGGCAGGCCTGGGGAACACATGAGCACTGAGGACTCATGTGTGTGTGTGTGTGTGTGTGTGTGTGTGTGTGTGTGTGTGTTGGGGGGAGAGGAGAAGCCAAAGTCAGCAGGTTGTGGGTACTCAGTGGAGGGTGATGGGACCCATTCAAAAAATGATGAGAGCTCTGAAGGCCTGAGATGGGGGCTGAGCTTACCTGGGTGGACATTCAAGGCTTTGTTCAGAAACCACATCTAAGATGACAGCACTCCTGGGCTGTGGAAGGTGGTGAGGGCTCCCCAAGGACCTGGTAGGCTCTCTCAAGGGAATCACTGGGTTTTGACAGGAAAGCTGTGACTCGGAGGCTAACAGTAGTTTCTGCTTGTGATTTCCAGAGAAATACATGGAGTTTGACCTGAACAATGAAGGGGAGATTGGTAAGTGAGGCATGGAAGGAGGAATGGGAGGGTGGGTGGAACGTTAGAGATCCAGAGTCCTGCTGACCTGGTGAGGGGCACTGGGCGATGTTGCCCTGGTGGGGCCGATGGCCAGGCCACCCTGTCACCAGCAGCAGGATACACAGCTCAACACTGCTGGCTGTGTAGCCTGAGTTCTTTTCAGAGATCTCTACTGAGGTGGAGCTGGGATCTTGATTCACACGGTGAAGAAGAATTTCAGAATGAGTCAGTATGACGTGAAATTGGGATTTATAATATAAAGTGTGGGGTTTATCTTGTTCAACATTTATTTATGTTGTGTGTGTGTATGTGTGTGTGTGTGTGTGTGTGTGTGTGTGTGTGGTGGAAGTCAGAGGACAGCTAGCAGGAGTCAGTTTTCCTCCTACCTTATAGGTTCTGAGGATCAAGCTCAGGTCATCAGGCTTGGCAGCGGTGTTGAGCCATCACACCAGCCATCATCACGTTTCTTATTGACCACAGTTACATCCATGTTAAATTTTTTTAGTAAACTCCAACTTTGCTTCATTAAAAAAATAGAAGGAACTGGAGAGGTGACTAGCAATTAATGCCAGTGTGTGGTAGCGCGTGCCTTTAATCCCAGCATTTGGGAGGCAGAGGCCAGAGGATCTCTGTAAGATCGAGGCCAGCCTGGTATCCATAACGAGTTCCAGGCCAGCTGACGCTACAGGGAGACCTTGTCTTAAGAAGGAAAAAAAAAGAGTGCCTGCTCCTTAAAACCCTTTTCAAAACTATAAAAAAGGACATTAGTCCTAGTAGGAAGTGTGAGCTTCTCAAGAGAATGTCACAAAGTCAAGTTTAAATATCTTAACACTAGCTAGCTATATGATTTTGGTGGCTCTTCAGGTTACATTATTCAAAGGGTATAATCTATATCTAAGTTTAAAAGAGTCAAACTGCTTTGGCATACTTTTTATCTGAAGAATTCGTCTCTTCCTAAGTGAGATTTTTAAAGTGGTTTATGACTGTGCTATACAGGCTGCTAAGATAAAAACACAGGTCAGAAAGGTCAATGGAATTCTTACCATACACAGGTCACAAGGGGGACAGGACATTTTCTGACTATAAACATGGCTCATAATCTTGTCTGGGAGGCTTCTCTCAGAAAAGTAGACTTACAGATGAGCAAGGTGTCCTGGCAAGGTTACACTCAAAGGTCACATAAATTCTGGCTTTAAGAACAATTCATTAGCTGTTCATTTCTTGCTCAAAATCTCTCTCAAAGAAGGGAATATTGTCTCTGTGCAGACAATCTTCACAGCAATTTTTCTCAGTCTTGGTGAAATTCTTGACTCTAAGCCAGAAAGAGACTTAAACCAGATCCCCAGGGCTGAGGGGTCCCTTTCCCTCCCCACCCCCCTTAATTGTCCATTTTTCTATCCTGCATCAAGCCAAGCACACTCTGGGTCCTCCTTTCTCCTGCCCCAGTTCCTCTGCCTGAGATTCCTCAAGACATTCTCCCCCGACCTCAGACTCCCACCCAGATCCTAGAGACACAGGTGGAGAGTGCCATGTCCTTCCCAGGGCTGCAGAGCCTGTTTGACTTCCTGGTCCAAAGGGCTAGAGCTTCCTTTGTCCCCAAGTCTGTCTTTCCTTTGCTATGTCCTGCAGTTGACAAGGAGCTTCCTAGACATCGATTCTCACCTGTAGCAGGACTTACTGCATCCTGCCATCTACAGCTTTTAAAACATCCTTTAAAAATTATTTATTTTTGGCCGGCCGTGGTGGTGCACACCTTTAATCCCAGCACTAGGGAGTCAGAGCAGGCATATCTCTGTGAGTTCAGGCCAGCCTGGTCTCCATAGTGAATCCAGGACAGCTGGGGCTACAGGGAAACCCTGTCTCAAAAAAAAAATTATTTATTTTTATATATATGAGTGTTCTGCCTATGTGTATGCAAATGCACCCATGTCGTTCAATGCCCACAGAGGCCAGAAGAGGGTGTCGGGTCTCCTGGAACCGGAGTTACAGACGGTTGTTAGCTGCCATGTGGGTGCTGGGAATCGAACCTGGGTCCTTTGTAAGGGCAGCCAGTGAACTTAACTACTGAGCCATCACTCCAACTCCAGATCCTGCCATCCAGGTGTCAGGGTGACAAAGGCACAGAAGTCCCATGGCACTTACGTCCTGGTGGGAGACCATAACTTGATCTAGCAGGACTAGGCCACAGTCAAGGCTGCTTAATCAACCCTGGTTTGCTGATGGCAAAACCAAGAATCAGAGAGGTAAAAGGATTTCTGGGCCTCCAGTGTCTGATTCTGAACAGGTTTCTGTCACCCTGTCACTGCCTGGGATATTCCATTGTAGGAATGGAACGAAAATGCATTCAGCCAATGTCCAAATCTCTACCATTTAGAACTGTAGATGACTTCATCTTTTTAAGACCAAGACTCATTGTAGCCCAGGCCGACCGGTAACTCAATACAGAGCAGAGAATGACCATGAACGTCTGATCCTCCTGCCTCCACCTCCCGGTGCTGGGATCTGGTTTACCATCTCCCATCTTTCTGTGGGAAAGTATTTTTGAGACAGAGTCTCTCTGTAGCCTTGGCTGGCCTGGAACTCACTATGTAGACCAGGCTAGCCTCAAACTCACAGATATCCGCCTGCCTCTGCCTCCCGAGTGCTGGGATTAAAGGCGAGCGCCAGCACGCCCGACATTATCTCCCATCTTGGCTATTATTGACAAACTCATGAAGATCACCTTTGCTTTTGGACCTTGTTCCCCTTTCTGTTCATTTCTTGAGAGCGAATCACCAATGAAGAAGACACAGTGGGTCAGAGGGCTCTGAAGCATCCTGCCAAGTGCCCTCTGGGAAAGGTCTTGCCAGTTTCAAGTCTGGTGGGCAGTGTGTGAGCCCTCTAATTTTTGCCTGTCCTCAGAAAGTCCTGGACCGCCCGGCCCTAGTCCTGCCCACTTCACCCCTGCTCAGGGTCCCAGGATCCGCCCGTGCCCACCGTCCTTAGCTGGTCGGTTGTTCACTGTGAACAGTCCCCAGGAAATGGCCTCAGATCTTGGTGGGAGCCTGGAGGTCAGGCAGAGGCTCCTGCGGCGGAGTGGCTGTTTGGTTCCTCCCTTGTTTCTCTTCCATTTTGTTCCTTTGTTGCTGTTCCTGCTCTGAGGGGTATTTTTGGTTCCTGGTTCCTTCTAGCCTAGGCAGAGCCCTAGGGCAGCAGGATGGAAGTGGCAGGTGGCAACTGGTCCCTGCCACACTGTGCCAGAGAGACTGACTTTAATGACTGAAATCAGGCAAGCCCCCAGGCACCTAGGGTCACCCTAACGAGTGCCTGCTGGGATATGTACACCGTGCCTCTCCGTGAACCCAATAGCCTTTCCGTCCTTCTTTCTCTTCAAATTAATACGTTTGTGTGTTTATGTGTGTCCATGTGCACATGTGTGCATGTGCACCTGTGTATGGATGTATGGAGAGGCTAGAGGTTGACATCAGGTATCCTCCTCGATTACTTAGGGTCACCCTAACGAGTGCCTGCTGGGATATGTACACCGTGCCTCTCCGTGAACCCAATAGCCTTTCCGTCCTTCTTTCTCTTCAAATTAATACGTTTGTGTGTTTATGTGTGTCCATGTGCACATGTGTGCATGTGCACCTGTGTATGGATGTATGGAGAGGCTAGAGGTTGACATCAGGTATCCTCCTCGATTACTCTCCACCGTGTGTGTGTGTGTGTGTGTGTGTGTGTGTGTGTGTGTGTGTATTAACCTGAAGCTCACTAATTTGGGCAAGTCCCAGAGATCCTCCTGTCTCTGCGTCTCCAGCACTGGGGTTGCAGGCATGTGCCAGTGTGCCTGGCTTTCTATATGGGGTCTCAGGGATTGAACTCAGTTCGTCAAGCTTGTATAACAAGCACGTTTTTCAACTGAGCCCCCTCCAGCTTGCTTGCTTTTTCTTTCTTTTCTTTCCTTCCCTCCTTCCTTCCCTCCTTCCTTTTGAGATGATTCCACTGTGTAACACAGATTGACCTCAAACTTTCAGTAGTCTCCTGCCTCAGCCACCCAACTGCTGGGATTATAGTCATGAACCACCCTTGTCCCAGTAGCCCTTTCTACTACTGATGAGAGCAGGGTTCAGAGAGGTGAAGATGTCTGCCCCAGGTCCCACAGCTCAAGTCTGACTCTAGAAACCCAGGTCTCTACCCATTAACTTTTACTCCCTCTGAAGAGAGCACGGTGGCTTGTCTCCCTCTCCCCAAGAGAAACATCACTGGCTGAAACCTGCAGAGAGAGGAGGCCCGACTGTCCCAGTATGAGGTGCAGGAATGGGGCATCTCTGACTCCTGGCAGGGCCTCAGTGTCTTGTCTCCACTGAGCAGATCTGCTTTTCCTACTGGCAGATCTGATGTCTCTAAAGAGGATGATGGAAAAGCTGGGTGTCCCCAAGACCCACCTGGAGATGAAGAAGATGATCTCAGAGGTGACAGGGGGCGTCAGTGACACCATCTCCTACCGAGACTTTGTGAACATGATGCTGGGCAAGCGATCAGCTGTCCTCAAGCTGTGAGTGCCTCCTTACCTCGTGGGGTGCCGGGTAGGGTAGCAAGGATGTCCTGCGGGGAGAGGCCCCAGGCTCAGAGCACCTCAGCTATCCCCCAGCTAGTGGAAAACTCATTGTGCCACCTGCTGGATGAGAAGCTAAGTTTTCCGAACCTTTTCTCCTTACCCATGAAGTGGTCATGCTAATGAACTATGGGGAGATTACTGCAGTGGGGTGCATGGTGGACCCCAAGATCCAAGGTTCCATGAGCAACAGCAGTGATGATGGCACTAAGTCTTCTCTCTCTCTTTTTAATATTTTATTATTTTTATTTTATGTCTATGAGCGTATTGCCTGCATGTATGTAAGTGCCCCCATGTCGTGCAATGCCCATGGAGGTCAGAAGAGGGCATTGTATCCTCTGGAACTGGAGCTACAAACTGTTGTTAACCACCATGTGGGTGCTGGGAACAGAGTCCAGGTCCTCTGCAAGAGCAGCCAGTGCTCTTAACTGCTGATGAGATTGAGAACCAAGGTTCTCTCTCTCTCTCTCTCTCTCTCTCTCTCTCTCTCTCTCTCTCTCAGCTTTATAAGAAAGATAAGCTCTTCAGGGTTTTGCTATGTAGCCCCATGTTGCCCTGGTTGGCCTATTACTTGCCATGTAACCCAGCTGGCCTCAAGCTCATGGCAATCTTCCTGCCTCAGCCTTCCAAATGCTGGGATTACAGGTACACACTACCACACCTGGCTACTGACACCTTTTCATTTCTTTCTTTCTTTTCTTCTTCCTTTCTTTGTGAGATGCTGGGACTTGAACCCAGGGCCTTATGCATGTTATGTAAGTGCTCTACTACTGAGCTACACCCCTGTTCCTACTATCAACACATTCTGAGCCTCAGTGCCCTCATTTATAGAGAAATTTCTCCCTTGGGTAGTTAAGACAGAGTCAGTAGTCCAAGCTGGGTGTGATGGGGCACATCTGTATTCTTAACATTCAGAAGGTGGGGCACATCTGTATACTGCAAGATCAGGAGTTTCAAAGCCATCTTCAGCTACATAGCAAATTCACAGCCAGCCTGGGCTACATGAGACCTGGCTCAACCCATCTCCATTAAAAAAAAGAGCATCGGCTGTTCTTTCAGAGGACTCGGGTTCAGTTCCCAGCACCCACATGGAGGCTAACAACCATCCGTAACTCAAGTTCCAGGGGATCCGAAATCCTCTTTTGACCTCCGTGAGCATTGCATGACACTGGTGCCCTTACATACATGTAGGCAATACACTCATGTACATTAAAAAAAGTCAGGGGGCTAGAGAGGACCTGGGTTTGGCTCCCAACACCCATATGGTAGCTAACAACCATCTGTAACTCCAGTTCCAGGGAATCTGCTGCCCTCTGGCCTCTGCAGGCATTACACAACATGTGTACACTTACATACATGTAGGCGAGACACTCATACATATAAAATATAAATAAGTAATTTTTCTAATAAAAAAAGTCAGCACTAAGGGTAAGGGAAGATGGAGTTTGAATCCTGATACTGTTGCTCCCTAAATGACAAGTTATCTTTGGTCCTTGAGCCTAATTTCCTTTTTTTTTTAATATTTATTATTTTTATTTTATGTGTATGAGTGTATTGCCTGCATGTATGTGAGTGCACCCGTGTTGTGCAATGCTGTGGAGGTCAGAAGAGGGCTTCGGATTCCCCTGGAACTGGAGTTAAGGACGGTTCGTAGCTGCCATGTGGGTGCTGGGAATCAAACCCAGGTCCTCTGCAAGAGCAGTCGGTGCTCTTAACCGCTGAGCCATCTCTCCAGCCCCTAATTTCCTTTTTATTTTGGTTTTGTGTGTAACTCTGTAGCTCAGGCTAGCTTTGAACTTGGAATCCTCTTCCCTCACCTCCTAAGTGCCGAGATTATTGGTGTGTCCACCACTCCTGAATGAGCCTCAGTTTCTTCAAGGAAGATAACTGAAGGACCAGTGGGATGACATGTAAAGATTTCAGCCTACTGCCTAGCTCATGGCAAACACTGAATATGTGGTACCTCTTTAGGGTACAAAGATGGACTATACTTGTCTCACTTTAAAAAGGAGTTCATTGGGGCCCAAGGAACTGGCTCATGAGCCCATGTTTTAGTCTGGCCTGAGCTTGTAGCATGGCCACTTATATACAAAAATGCAGAGGGTGAGTGTCTGGGTTGAGTCACCCAGCTAGAATGCACTAGGCTGGCAATGAAATGCAGTCTCCCGGCAAAGTTATATGATAAACCTATATTCTCTCCATCCCAGATTGGACTTGTGGCACAACGGAGAGTGTTTTAAAGAGCTGAGGGGGAAGGCAAGGGATGGCTCAGCAGTTAAGAGCACTGGCTGCTGTTGCAGAGGACCTGGGTTTGGTTCCCAACACCCACATAGTGGCTAACAACCATCTGTAACTCCAATTCCAGGGGATCCAATGCCCTCGCCTGGCCTCTGTGGACATTGCACAAATGTCATGCACTTTCATACATGCAGACAAAAAATCTGAAGGGGTTTTAAGCAGAGTCCTGGGGCCAGCTCAGCCTTCAGACAACCTGGAGAAAGAAAAGCACATGACCTGAAAGCCAGAAGCCTAGAGGGTTGTCCCTACCTCTGCCTTGGGCTTCCCGTGCTGTTGGGGGATTGCATCACTACTTTATGCTCCAATTTCTTCCTCTGTCAAATGGGACCACATAGCTGCCAGTGTGAGCTCTTGTGGGGTTCTCCTGAGAATAATTTGGGGGCATTTTGTCCAGGACCCTGCAGAGTGAAGACGGGGGGGCTCTCTCAATGCGGGGCGAAATCCCAATCCTGGTTTTTATTTTTTCTTTTCTCCATCTCTAAACCAGAGTCATGATGTTCGAAGGAAAAGCCAACGAGAGCAGCCCCAAGCCAGCTGGGCCCCCTCCAGAGAGAGATATTGCCAGCCTGCCCTGAGGACCCTCCTGGACCCTCCCTGCCCTGCCCCTCCCTCTTGCTCTCACTGAGCTTCTCCACTCAGTGTAATCTGTCGTGTTTGTTTTGTTGTGGTGGGTTCGTTTTTGTTTGGGTTTTTTTTCCCCTCATTCATTTCTTTGTGAAAACACAAGTTACCTGCCTTAAAGAGGCTCTGGGCAGGGGGATCCAGAGCCTCAGGTCCCCTTCCTTTCTGCTCCCTGCGCTCCCTATACAGAGGGGCTGACATCAGACCAAAAACTGGAGAGGACAGGGTCAGAGCAGGGAGGTTGGAAGCCTGCGTTCCATACTTGAAGAAAGTCCTGTCCATCTGTCCATCTTTCCAGAAGATCTCCGAACTAAGCTCAGACTACAGGCTTCACTCTGGTGAGCCCTTCCTCTCCCTCTACTCTGAGAGGACCCTGAGTAGGCACAAAACTACAGGGCCTCCTTAGAGTTCCTTAGACTGCTCCATGCTTGCGGTGCTCCTGGGTAGTCCAGGGCACGACCACTTAGTGCTCCCCTCATGCAGCTGACCCCTTCTTGGTTCATGCTTCTCTCTGTCCTTGATGACAAGACATAGAAAGGGAAGAAAGGCAGCTGGCCATTGGAGTTCTTCAAGAAGGAACATTTCTCTCTTGACCACACCTTTCCAGGCAGCTCAGAGGGATAGTGCAGCCCTACCATCCCTTGCTAGGGTAACAAAGGGCTTTGGGAGCAGAAGCGATGGCAGTGGCCTGGAGGTGTGTCTTACCTTTGAGGAGAATGCTGAGGGCCCCAGGATGGAAGCATGAGGGGGCTGAATGCTCATGACAAAATGTCACCACCACTGTTGAACCTCAAACTGAGAAACAGACTGTCCTGATTTCAAAATGCTTGAAACCCAGCTATACTTCCTCCATTTGCCTTCCTCCCTGATAGCCCATTTGTTCACTCACTTATTCAACAGATATTTATTGAGCACCTACTATAAGCTTTAAGTCCCCCCATTTTGTCTGGAAGTGTGCTGTGTCCAATTCATTTCTGTCTTTTCAAGTCCCTCAAGACTTGGAGGTTGGGAATTAGATGGAGGTCACCTGGGTTCCTTCTTGTGGACTAACAGGATCTTAGAGCCCTGATCCACCCTGTAGATAAGCTGGGTCATTCCTTTTTACTGTGTTGGCCCACAGAGGTTAACTGCCTTGCCCAAGGTTGAGGGGCTCAGCTGGAGATTGAGTTTGGACTCACCCAGGTAGTCAGGCACCTTGTCCATACCTTACTTCTGTTCTAGTCTGCCTTAGTCAAAGGGAAAGTCAACAGAGGAGGGCAATCTCAGTCTCCCAGCCTGATACTTGAGGAAGGCTTCACTCCCTCTGAAGGCCTTGGGTCAGGACTCATCCTCCCTAGGACCTCCAAGTCATCAGTAGAGTTTAGGTAAGAGCCAAGCCTGCCTTTGTAGCTTGCCTTTCCTATGGCTTCTTGGCTGATCCTCAAAGATCCTATAACTCATGTAGGAAAATGTCACACTTGACCCAATCTTACCTGAGTGGGGACCTCAGCCTTGACCTTACCCATGTTCCTCTACCCTGGCCCTCAGGACTCAGATGCATTCATTCCTTGAGCATATTCATCAAGTACCCACTATACCCATGAGTTCAGTACTCCACAGTGAAATGGACAGACACAGAAAATTTAGGTCTAGTGGGGAGTCAGACTCAACCAACATTAGGAAATAGAGGACATGGGGATGAGTCCCCTGCAGTCCCAGGAACTCCAGTTGGGCTCAAGACTTGGCAAGTCTTGCAGGAACCTCTGTAAAACCCTAAGTGGAATGAAGTGAGGATTGCTGGATGAGTGTGGACTCCCTGTCTTAGTGTCCCACAGTCTAGTCCCCAGGGTGCTGGTCCCCACAGCAGCTTGAGAAAGTGAAGCAGGCAGGACAGGGCATTGCCAGTTCCCGTTAATTCTCTGGTCTCAACCAGTTCAGTTCAGGAAAGATTATTTGGCTTCAACTGGCTGATCTTCAGCCTAAAGAGCTGCTTTAAATACATGAGTCTAGTTGAAGTTTAAACCCCAGAAAAACATTCCTCCCTGTAAATATAAAATCCCATCTACCCTCACCTACTACCCCCCCCTTTTTTTTTTTTAAGATTATAATCTCCTGTCCCTCCCCCCTCCTGTTTCCCTTCTCTAGACAGTCTGGGACTTCGGACTGTATTCAGTGTGTCTGCTCCTCCCTGGGTCAGGAAGGCAGAACCAACCAGTCTCATTGTAGTGGGTCCAGAACTCAGGAGATCCCAAGGTGCCTCCATAAAGGAGGAGAGCAAAGAAGGGTGCTTCTAACCTCTGGGGAGTACAGGAAAGTTTCTCTAGTTGTTTGGGAGAGGACCTCACAGGTCCCTTCACTAGTCCTTAGAACTCAACCCCCGGGGAGATGTTCTTAAGAATGACCCCTGAAGAGAGTCTGCATGTATTTTAGCTGTTGGTTCCAGGACTCTTTAACGCCTCTAAGGACTCAGCTTTCTTGTTTTATTTCTGAAAAAGACCAAATCTAACTGGTACAACCAACACTGTGAGGACTGTCATGTAAGGCTTTGTCTCTGTGACTCAAAAGAAGTTTGTCAGGTGGATTCAGGTGAATGACATTATGTGTGTGAGTGTGCGTGTATGGGGTGGGATATCTCTATAGATTGAAATAAACCAGACAAGCTTAACGGTGTCTCTGTGTTTCTTGGGGATGATTCTGGGATCAGGAAATTCAAAAGAGCTTACTAACTGAATCAGGCTGTCCTGTCGCAGATGGAGACGACCGAGTCTCATCGCCACAACAGTCCGAGACCCAGTTTTATTATGCCATTTTTATTTTACAGCAAGAACTAGCTTGGAGTAGATAAGCAACTTGCCAAAAAACAAGTTGTGTTTTTTTTCTGTTGTTGTTTTGTTTTTTGTTTTTTTTTTATAGAATTTGCCCCCTGGAGCTACCCTGCCAACCCCAAGAACCTCTGTCTTAGAACTTCTACAATTCCAGTCCAGAAATTTCTTCTACATGGGACTGTGCAGCATCCCTCAGTAAATCCAGATCTGAATCCTAACTTTGCCTCACTTCCTAAGAGTCCCTTGAGAGGCAGGCGAGGTGGTACATGCCTTTGATCCCAGCACTTGGGAGGCAGATCTCTGAGTTCGAGGCCAGCCCGGTCTACCTAGTGAGTTCCAGGCCACCTGGCACTACAGGGAGACCCTGTCTCAAAAACACCAAAAAAAAAAAAAAAAAAAAAATTCCTTGGAAACTTTTACCTTTGGGTTTCCCTTAACTCATTTAAAAAAATATTTTTTTATGTCTCTC